ATAATGTTTTCCCTGCCTTTCTATTATGTATAGGGCAGCCATGGGCAAACTTTCTAACTTGGGGGCCGCACGGCAGACTGGAGCGGGGTCAAAAGGAAGGGGTTTCTCCCCAAGTCCCCTCCCTGCCCTTTTCTCCTCTTCCTCTTCTCTTTCAGAGGCAGAAAGTGAAGGAAAGATGGGAAACATTTGGATCTCAAAAAGGTTGGTCTTGGTCAGGATGAGATGATGGACAGGAGAGAAAAAGTGTATCCATTAGACCCCGTATTGCCTACTCCTGATATATAATCCTATAGCTGGAAGAGACCCCCAAGGGCCATCCAGTCCAACCCACTGCCATGCAGGAAGGCACAAGTAAAGCACTCCCAATAGACAGCCTCTGCAGAAAAGCCTCCAGAGAAGGAGACTCCACCATACTCTGAGGCAGCTTATGCCACTCTCCAACAACTCTTACTCTCAGGAAGTTCTTAATCTTTTCAGTCAAATCTTTCCCTGCCACTTGAACCCATTGCTCCCTTGTGCCCTGGTCTCTAGAGCAGCAGAAAGTCATTTCTCCTCCTCCTCCTCAATGGGACATTCTTGAAACATGGTTCTCTTGTCATGTTCCCTCTCTACCTTCTCTTCTCTCAGCTAAACATCCCCCAGGAGGAACAAAGAGGACAAAGAGAAGGAAGGAAGGAAGAAAAAAAGTAAGCGAAGGAAGAAGGGTGGAAGTAATGGAGGGAGGGAGGAAAGACAAAAATGGAAGGAAGGAAGCGAAGGATGGAAGGAAARAAGGAAGGAAGAAAAGGAGTAAGCAAAGGATGGACGGAAGGAAGGGTGGAAGGGAATGGAGGGAGGAAAGACAAAAGGTATGGGAGGGAGGGAGGGAGGAAGGAAGGGAGTAAGCGAAGGATGGAAGGAAAAAAGGAAGAGTGGAAGTAATGGAGGGAGGGAGGAAAGACAAAATGGATGGAGGGAGGTAGGGAGGGAGGGAGGGAAGGGAGGGAAGGAAGGAAGGAAAGGAGTAAGCGAAGGATGGAAGGAAGGGTGGAAGGGAATGGAGGGAGGGAGGAAAGACAAAAGGSAAGGAAGGAGAAAGYGAGGAAAGAAAGGAGGGAGGGAGAAAGAGGGAAGGAAGGAAGGAAGGAAAGGAGGGAAGGAAGGAGGAAGGAAAGAGAGAAGAATAGGATGGTGTGAGAGAAGAGGGCCTGAGAAAAGAGCCCAAGGGACTGCATTTGGCCCCTGCGCCTGGGTTTCCCAATTCCTGGCATAGGGTATAAAGGATGAGTGCCCTTTCCTCTACCTGTTTCTAAAAATAATTTTGGGGTAGCAAATCAATTGAGCATCTTGCCTTAAAATTTAATTCATCCTAAAAGAAAATATTCTTTAATCCTTTTTTCCTTAGCAAATAACTCTTTAGGATGGAACCCAAACCTGTTTTGCTTCTGAATTTCATTCGTCCGCCAGTCTTTCACAACCCTATCATAGATTATATAAGTTGTACCAATACCTGACAACCAGCAGATTGTCTACAATGATGGGTATTAGATTATAAATGGATATGAATATTTGCCACTTTTGGTAATCTTACTAGCATGGTATGGTGGCAGTTTGAGCGGTGGACTATGATTCTGGAGAACAGGGTTCAAGTATCTGCTCAGTGATGGCTTTCTTGGCACAAAATTGCCAAGAAAACCTGTGATAAGGTCATCATAAACTACTTGAAAGCGCATAGCTAAAATTTATTGGTCTATTTTATTATTTATTTCATGCATTTCTACCTCGCCCTTGTCCTAGTTTTCAGTCATTGCGCGTTTATGTGTCTTGAAGTAGCCAGCAATCTTACGGGGACCCCATGTATTTCTTAGGCAAGGAATACTCAGAGCGTGCATTTGCCATTTCCTTCTCCAGAAATATACCGTAAAGCACCTGGTATTCATTGGCAGTCTCACATCCAAGTATTAACCAGGGCTTAGCTTCCAAGATCGGACAGGATCTGGCGGCTTTAAAGTATTTAGGCCTTATAAAAAAGAAAACATTCCTTAACATGTATTTTTTACTTAACGCTCAAAACGGCATTGTTTGTTCTGTTTCACCTAATGAAGACAAAATGAGTCTGTGGAATATCTGTGGAATGTCCCGGGTGGGAGAAATAATTCTTACCTGTTTGAGGCAGGTGTGATTGTTGCTATTGACTACCTAGATTAACATTTAATGGCCCTGCAGTTTCAAGGTCTGGCTTCTCATTGCCTGGGGGAATCCTTTGTTGGGAGGTGTTCGCTGGCCCTGATTGTTTGTCTGCTTGAGGCAATCAGGGTCAGCTACATAACACCTCCCAACAAAGCATTCCCCCAGGCAGGAATCAGCCAGGCTTTGAAGCTGCAAGGCTATTCAATGCTAATCAGGGTGGCTAATTGCAACATTCATATTGGCCTCAAGCAGACAAGTGTTCATTCTCCCACCCTGGACATTCCACAGATATATAAACCTCACCTGCCTAGTTTCCAACAGACCTCACAACCCCTGAGGATGCCTGCTGTAAATGTGGGCAAAAGTCAGGAGAGAATGCTTCCAGAACATGCCCAGACAGTCTGGAAAACTTGCAGTAACCCAATTCCTTAACTGCTTCTTGGCTGGACAGTGAACAATCAATTTTCCTTTTGCATTTATCCTTTGCTGCATATTAGTTTATATCCTGCCACTTTGGCTCAGCTTTCCCCCCAATTTGCTGCCAGAATGTTTTCAGCAGAAATGTCAACACTTCTGTAAGAAGTTGTTCTAGTCAAATGTTATTGGATTTGATGCGGATGGCTAGGGCGGTTTTAAATGGTTTATTTTAATATTTTGATTTTTTTTAAATGTTTATGTATTGTATGTGAACTTGTGTCCTGGCATTGAATGTTTGCCTTGCATATGCTGTGCTCCGCCCTGGGTCCCCTTCGGGGTGAGAAGGGCGGAATATAAATGTTTTAAATAAATAAAAAAAATTATTATTGTGTGCAGTGTTGGTATATATTTTTCTTGGTACCAGTTATGTGATCAGTCAGTATGTTCACCTGGAGATTCTAGGTAATCTCATTTCAATTTCCACAAAGTAAACAGTGATAAATTTGACTCAAGTATCTCGATATATTTCCAAGCCTTTCTCTGACAGGAGAGCTGAAAACTTAAATTAAGTGAAACAAATTTTAAGATTGATTATATTAGGGTCCACATAAAAAATACATACCATCATTTTAAGGAAAGGTATTATAATTCTATATTAATTACCCAAATGTTTCCCTTCAGTGGTTTTGAAAAAGCATCAATTGTGTTGGATGTATGGCCATTAGTTTTGCCAGGATTCATTTTTACAAGAAATGTCACATACCAACATCTTCTTCACTAAATTTATCACATTTAAGTGAGGGCCCCCCGGTGGCACAATGGGATAACTCTTGTGCCGGCAGGACTGCTGACCGAAAGGTCGGTGGTTCAAATCCGAGGAGTGGGGTGAACTCCCATCTGTCATGCGGGGACATGAGAGAAGGATGGTAAAACATCCAAGCGTCACCTGGGCAAAGTCCTTGCAGACAGCCAATTCTTTCACACCAGAAGCGACTTGCAGTTTTTCAAGTCGGTCCTGACATGAAAAGAAAAAAAAGGAAGTAAAATCACATTTAAGTTAAAGTTGTATAGTACATAGAATTACATATTTACTTTTAAATGATTGTATTTGGGTGTATTATAAATTGCTTCCCTATGAGGTGCCCTTTGCAAACTATTGGAATATTGATCAACTTGCTGCGGCTAGTATCCTGTTGTACAGATTCGAGATATTTGGCATGCATGAACTGATGCGAATAACAGATATTGTATAAAGTGATACTGCTGTATACATACCATAATCCCATGGTTGCTTTACAATGATGGAATCAATATATGATTTTGGTAGTAATGTGTTCCATTGGGGGGGGGGGGGATCTTATCAGTGCATTCATTTGCAGAAGTGAATGCAAGAAGAAAATGCAGACGTGTGCTTTTCATCTTAAGAACAAACAAGCATCTGGAGCTCCAAGGATTGCCTGGAAAGGCATCCCACTGGAGCATTGCAGCACACCCAAATACCTGGGAGTCACTCTGTACCATGCTCTGACTTATAAGAAGCACTGCTTGAATATCAAGCAAAAAGTGGGTGCTAGAAATAATATCGTATGAAAGCTGACTGGCATAACTTGGGCATCACAACCAGACACAGTGAAGGCACCTGCCCTTGCACTTTGCTACTCTGCTGCTGCATATGAATGCCCAGGGTGGGAAAAAAGTCACCATGTTAAAACAGTGGATGTGGCTCTTAATAAGACATGCCACATTATCACAGGATGTCTACACCCCACACCACTGGAGAAATTTCACTGTTTAGCTGGTATCATACCACCTGACATTCGCCGGGAAGTAGCAGCCAGCAATGAAAGGACCAAGGCATTGACGTCTTCAGCTCATCTTCTGTTTGGATATCAGCCAGCATGACAACACCCTAAATCAAGAAATAGCTTCCTAAGATCTACAGTGATACTCGCAGGAACACCTCAGCAAGCAAGAGTCCAAAAGTGGCAGGCTAAAACCCAGCACCTCAATCAGTGGCTGTGACCGGATGAGAAACTCCTACCTGGGCATGCAGAAGAGTGGACGAACTGGAAGGCACTGAGCAGGCTGCGCTCTGGCACCACAAGATGCAGAGCTAACCTTAAGAAATGGGGCTGCAAAGTGGAGTCCATGCCATGCGAATGCAGAGAAGAGCAAACCACAGACCAACTACTACAATGCAACTGGAGCCCTGCCACATGCACAACGGAGGACCTTCTCACAGTGACACCAGTGGCCAGCTTCTGGTCAAAGGACATTTAACATAATGACGAGTTTTTAAAGACTTTGTTTGTATTTTTAAATGCATTTTAACTGTACCCTCAATTCGCTTCCGACACGATAAATACATCTTGTAGAAGTAACATATCTCTGCAATGGAACATTGCTGATAGATATTAAAAGAGAAAGGATTAAATAAGATTTTATTGTCACATTTAACTGCTTCGTCCGAGATGTACATTAAAGGTTTCTGAGCAAGATCAAAAATAAAATTCCTTGAATTAACTGATGAGATGGCAACAGCACTTATTTAATTAACCAGCACTACAGTTGTTTGCAAATACCCCAAAAATAAAACCGAAACACATTTTTATCAAAACAGACTGTAGCAATGAAAAACAAAATACATTATGTTAAGGCCAAAGAGTATGTTAAAAATAACTAAAAGAGAAATGTTTGATAGTCCCAAATGTCTGAGAAAGATTGACATTTTACCATATTTCAAAGCCACTTGAATTTTGTTTCATACGTGTAGGATAGGTTGGGATTGTTTAGCAATTGAGGTCTTTTGCCACCGGCAACTGGATATCTAAAGGGAGCCTTGTAGGGCTTTAACGAAGAGTGGGATTATATATGACAAAGATGCATTGTCACAGACTGAAGTGATTGCTGGAAGAGAATGGAGGGGAAAGCCTAATTGGACACTGAATGGCACAGTTTCTTATCTTTTGGGCAAACGTCGCTGCAAGCATAAAATAAAAAATACCGGTAAGTGCATTCAAACATTCTTTGAGCAGAATCCATGTCATGCCTCCAAAATCACAAGGTTTCCCCCTCACCCCAACAAGAGATACATTTTAAAGAAACCCCAGGGTATTTTATTAGACAGTCTCTTTTATGTTCCATAACTTAAAATTTCTATAGAAACAAGGATTTTCTTTTGCAAGTACATTGCACAAATGTGTATTTTCAGCATTTGTGGAGTTTTAACACAAAACATTGACAGAACTGACCACGTCATCACCTTCTGCTATGTGCTCTTCATACATTTTTTGGAGAACGAAAACAAGACAATGAGGATAGTGTGGCAAAGTCACTTTTTTAAAAAAAAATCCACAAAGATCAGAGTAGTTATGCTCGAGACATTCACTGATGATTTACTGGTAATTATTATTTTTTCCCCTACATAAAAAGGCAACCATCATTTTTTAAGTGATACACATTAGGCTAGTAGAAAAAGATCGAAACAAATCTCATCTCTATTAAAAGAGCATGCAGAGAAGATAGTTCACATTTGTTCCAATCAGGCTTCTTGGAATTATCAAAGGTTGTTTTTTTTTTCCTTCTCCTGGCAATGATCTATTTGGCTTCGCCGTCAAAAAGCCAGATGATCGTAGTTCTTAGAAATAACCCCCCTAAGATTCAAGGCATGATCGTGCACGAGGTAAGCTTTGATGTGAGATAATTAGAAACTGCACTTGGTTGCGAAATCTCATTCTTTTCGTATTGGGAATTTGGCAACCAAAGCGACAGGGTTTTTTTTTTTTCCGAATTCACTTTGCTTATTTACCAGTACAGCCATGAATCCCATTAATTAGTACATCTTGATTATACTAAAGATCCCATTACAAAACTTGCAAAAATGTGAGTAAGCCATCTACGTTCAAGTCTTCTACATCTGCTGTGCACAATGATCCACTTTTGTAGCTCATTTCCTCCGAGTTAAATCCCAAAATATTCTGTAACGATTTAGGAAAGATAGTGCTATGTTATGCTCATGTTCTATCAAATCTGGGAGATTTGAGTATTCCTCGAATCACCATCTGCATGTGTCAAAGGTCGAGAATCTCTTGTCTGTGCGTATTCACTGTCAGATGACTCTGTAGGTTCAAGCAAATTCTCACAGTCACTGTCTTCTGACTCATTCGCAGTGTCAGCGGAGGCTGTTTGGGAAGACGACGATGGCATGGATGTGCCGTTGCCTGAATGCTTCAATCCTGTGTTTGTGGAAACATAACTAGGAGAGCCCACTGCTTGAGGTCGAGGCATGAAAACATTATTTTCTAAAACACCAGGGCGCACGGCACTGTCATGATTGATCACACTGAAGTCAGCGTAAGGGGGAGGAGGATCAGAGGTATCTGGTTCTTCAAGGTTACTACCTTCCACAGCAAATCCCGCATGAGACATCCGTGGGATGAATATAGGTTCCAAGGTTTCGGTTGATATCTGCCTGCTTAAGATGGTCTGCTGCAGCCCTACAACAGTACAAAAACAAGTATTGTAATTGCCTGCCAGAGCAAGAYAGTTGGTTTAGTTATATAGTAAAGGTAAAGGTTTCCCCTGACATTCAAGTCTTGTTGTGTCTGACTCTGAGGGGTGGTGCTCATCTCCATTTCTAAGCCGAAGAGCCAGCGTTGTCCGTAGACACCTCCAAGGTCATGTGACTGGTATGACTGCACTGAGCSCTGTTACCTTCCCACAGAAGCTRTACCTATTGATCTACTCACACTTCAATTTTTTAAATTGCTAAGTTGGCAGAAGCTGGGGCTGACAGCGGGAGCTCACCCCACTCCCTGGATTTGAATCGCCAACCTTTCAGTCAGCAAGTTCAGCAACTCAGAGGTTTAACCCGCTGCGCCAYCAGGGGGCCCATAGTTAAATACCACTCTGCTTTTTGGTGAGATATGTGACCATGGGCATGGAAAAAAATATACCGTATATTCAGGCATATAAGACRACTGGGTGTATAAGTCGACCCCCAACATTTCCAGTTAAAATAAAGAGTTTGGGATATATTTGCTGTATAAGACTACCCCTCTTCCAACACACACCAAATAAAAWTTTTGAAAGCATCAGATTTGATTTCAATATGGTAATTTTCCTATTACTGTATCTCCTTTTCTGCCTCTCAGATCTCGCAAATGCGCACCTTCACCACTTCACTGCAGTCTTCAGGAGCGAGATCTGAGAGGCAGAGGAGGAGGTACGGTAATAGGATACAAGGGCGGCCAGATAGGTAAAAGAGTTGTGTTTTTCTGGGCCCAGAGCCACTCTATCTCTTTTTTTCCATACCCTGGGCGCCCCGGACACCTGCAGCTTTCTCCGCCCTTCACTTACACCTTCCCGGTGAGGCACCGCTTCACCTCACCATCGGGACCGCATTAAGTCCACAAATCCTGATGAATGGATTTTCTTCTACCAAACTTGTACAGAATCGCCTTAATGCTTTCATACAGTAGCTGCATACGGCAGGGATGCGGCCACTACCATTTTTGAGCTCCCCCCACCATATGTGGCAACCACAGATTCTTCAATCCGGATTGGAAGTTTCAGCACCTGCTCTATAAGATGACTCCCAACGTATAAGACTACTGTCGTATATAACCCCTGACTTTTGAGAAGATTTTCTTGGGTTAAAAAGTAGTCTTATACGCCAGAATATACGGTACTTAACAAGTCACTTGAGGGCAAAAATAAATGAAGTGCAAATTGAATTCAGCTTCCCTTAGAATAATAATAGTAATAATAATAATAATAATAATAATAATAATAATGACTTTTATTTATAACCTGCCCCCTCCCCCTCTGGGTGGCTTACAGCAATCAAACAATACAGAAAACAGTATGGCAATAAGCAGTGTACAACAAAACAATTAGTTACATAGTACAATTAAAATGACATTATAATAAAGAATTAACAAATAGCAGGAGCAAAACTACTTGCCCTCTAAAAACAGTCTAAATACAATAGAACCACTTTACTTCTACCAGTAAGATTCATATAACTCACTTCCAAAAACTCAAGCATGTGGCCAAAATGAAGTACAGTGTTCCCTCACTTATTGCAGGGGTTCTGTTCCAGGACCAGCCACAATAAGTGAAAATCCATAAAGTAGGGACGCCATATTAATTTTAATATTTATACATTATTTTATATATTTTATATATTATTTTCTTACTCGCACTTCCTTACCCGCCTCCCGGCCCATCCCAAGGGCGCCTGGCTGCCTCCCTGGCCTCTGCAGACCCCAGCAGAGCCTCTGGAGCCACATAGGCAGCAGCAGGCCAGGGAGGCAGGCCTTCCCTGCCGCACTTCAGGCTGCCGCACTTCCGAGGTCTGTGGATGCCAGGGAGGCAGGCCTTCCCCACCGCACCTCAGGCCGCCGCACTTCTGGGGTCACTGGCCTCCATTGGATGTAAATATTTTATGTTTTGTATTTTTATTAATATTTTCAAAAATCCACAAAACAGTGAGTCCACTAAAAGCGAACCACCAAGTAGTGAGGGAACACTGTACAGTCAGCCCTCACATTTACACATTTCTCTTGCATGGATTTGAATATTCAGAGGTTTGTAGCTGCTCATTAATTAGCTCACGCTCGTCCTGCTCTTTCTGCTGCTTCTCTGCCTGTCCTTCAATGTCCTGCCACTATGATCTAAGTGGAAATTTATACCATATTATGACACATATGCTATCTTATCCCAAAACCTCCTGCTTCTCATCTCATATCTTCCAAGGCATATCTGTTCAATGTGTTTCCTTCAAAATAAAACCCCTTCACAGGGAACTTAGTTAAGGGAAGGGAATGGCACAGCATGCCAACTGCTTAGTGTGTCAAAGGAATATGATGGAATGCACCAGAAAACTGCAGAACAGCAGAAAATGACTGCAGCACAAGTCACCATATTGCTGTCTTCATTTTAGGGTCCTAAACATATGGCGTGCCTATGTATTCTGTCAAGTTATGGTGAAAAATGCTAGCGAGGAACGTAGACGTTTTTCCAACGTAAATCGCATACTATTAGAAATGTTATCTAAAGGAAATCTAAAAATTTAAAGGGAAAGCTGCCATGAAAGTGGGAGCTTATTTTTTCATACTTATTTTGCACTTGCTGTTCCCAATTTTTCAATTATGTGCAAATCTAGTAAGTATTAAACCAGCTGGCGCTGTTCAGTACTGAGGCAACACCAGAAGGAACATATCTTTATCATTCTCCAAGTTCTTATTTAACATGCTGCTGATACAATCAGGTATTGATCACCATCATGCCTATTGGAAACTTTGTTAAGAGTAGGATTATAAAGATAAGGAGCTGCCGACAGTACTTAATTATTTAGTCCAAAGGAACAAGTTTTGTGATTCCAATTTCCATATATCTATCAACACACAATTGTTTCTAAATCTTTTCCTTACTATCACAATAAACAGCCTGTTCTATTTGGTAATTTACCATTACTACAATCAATATTTTTCCTTTTTTTCTTCCTGCGTGAACTGTTACTTTATCAAACAAATGTCATACTTAGCAAATACACATGTATGTTCACAAGTGACAAAAGATAAACTCTAAGCCAGTGGTTCACAACCTGTTGGTCCCCAGATGTTTTGGCCTTCAACTCCCAGAACCCTTACAGTTGGTAAACTGGCTGGGATTTCTGGGAGTTGTAGGCCAAAACACCTGGGGACCCACAGGTTGAGAACCACTGCTCTAAGCTAAAAGATATTGGCCTTTCTACTCAAATTGTTTAATAACTTGTACAGGTAGTCCCCAAGTTATGAACAAAATAGGTTTTGTAATTTGTTCTTAAGTTGAATTGGCATGTAAGTCGAAACAGGTACATTTTTAAAGTGAAACTCCAGCCAAATATGTATATATCTTTTGGCTTTGGATAGTATAAAAGGTAAAGGTTTTCCCAACATTAAGTCTAGCCGTGTCCGACTCTGGAGGGTGATGCTCATCTCCATTTCTAAGCTGAAGAGCCAGCGTTGTCCATAGACACCTCCAATGTCATGAGGTCAGCATGACTGCATGGAGAACCGTTACCTTCCTGCAGAAGCAGTACTTATTGATCTACTCACATTTGCATGTTTTTGAACTGCTGGGTTGGCAGGAGCTGGGCCTAGCAGCAGGAGTTCACCCTGCTGCCCAGAATTGAACTGCCAACCTTCTGGTCAGCAAGTTCAGCAGTTTAACCTGCTGCCCCACCAGGGGGGGGGGGCTTGGATAGCATAGGGAAGGGGTGACAGCTCTGTGGTGTTTATTCCACTGTTTGTGCCCCTGTTCAGAAACTTTCACCTCACTTTCTGTCCCTGTGATAATTGAATTTTGAAAAATGTGGCTTGTTGTGGAAAGAAAGTTTGGTTGTCAAGCTTCTGTTGAGACACCTTTTCCTCATGATAACTCTTTCAGGAGTGGATTTCCTTTCCAAAGGGCAGACTTCTCTCACTTCCTGTTGTCTCACCTCCATTCTTAACTGTGAGTTGTTTGTAAGTCAGATGTTTGTAACTCAGAGATAAAGCAGATTGGAGCAGATTGGAGCATGATAACTCTTTCAGGAGTGGATTTCCTTTCTAAAGGGCAGACTTCTCTCACTTCCTGTTGTCTCACCTCCATTCTTAACTGTGAGTTGTTTGTAAGTCAGATATTTGTAACTCAGAGATAAAGCAGATTGGAGCAGATTCACATTTCCTCCAGAACAGAAAACATATGGCTTCTCAGTCAGCTATTTCTAACTAGCCAAATGCAAACCATATCCTAATAGCAATCTATAACCACTAAGCTACATAGATAAGCTGATATGTGTTTTGGGGACATGCCTTCATTTTTTAAAATTTCAAAGTATCATCACTGGTTTCTTTAACCATCATGTTTGGTTTTTGGAGTCAACATTTCTCAGTTTTGATGTTTTCAATGAAAACCAATCTGCATACCCTACCACTGGAGGAAAAAAAGAGTTGTCATCATAGAACATTTTCTCATCATGTAAGCCCTGCACTAGAAGAAACAGGATGATACAACTAGTTAATATCTGGTTGCAGAATCCGTTTATCCATAATCTTTGTCAAATTATGAAGGCAGGCAGACGGAAGAGAAAGATGATCAAACTCAGGACTGTGATACAGAAGTGACTGAACAGATCTAATAGGAAATGGTGTGTGAGTACAAGAGTGAAGAAAATGTGCTGCCTACTTGACTGTTCCTTCCAATAATATTTCTTAACTTGGCTCTGATATTATGGAATTATGAGGTATGTGTGGATTAAATAACTATAGACCAGATTTCTGTCTCCGGCATTATCTTCTGAAGTCTTCTCTGTTTTCACTGTATCCTAAAATCCTCTAAAATTTAATCAGATACATTTCACATTTTGACATGTACAGAGCCTTGTACAACAGCATGATACACTAATTTTCCAAAAGAGAACATTTATAGAAAAGGCTTACGTACTTATTTTCTGCTCCTTTTCATTTTTCCTTTGTGAGATTTGCCTTTTCAGCTTATTCACCTCTGCCTGGAAAGACTCTACAGCTCGTTCACTTTTCTCTAAATCTATACATACTGCCTGGGAGAAATACAACAAGGTTAGTTCAACTGACATTAAACAGCCCTCGCAGAAATACAATGCCAAGTCAAGATCAAAGACAGAGGTATTATGAGATGTTCATAAGACAGGTTCTTGTGTCACTTGTGTCCAAACCTCAATTTCAGTAATAGTGAGAAGTTTGCTTCATGACCTGTAACTGATAGCAAGCGACAGAAATTAATTGGTTAAACTGTGTTTTGACACACAGGCACTGTTAAATCAAATAGAAATATAGAAATCCTCATTGATAATAGGGAATAATATTTGGCGCCTAATCAAGCACACTTTTACACCGCCTGAGCTCTGCAAGTGCAGCATTTTCCCAAATGTTTGAGGACTGGGACTTCCGTAGGGATACCAAGGTGCTTGTTTATAAAGCTATTGTCCTCCCAACCCTGCTATATGCCTGTGAGATGTGGACAGTCTACAGATGTCACATGCAACTCCTGGAATGATTCCATCAGCACTGCCTCCGAAAAATCCTGCAAATCTCTTGGGAAGACAAGCGGACAAATGTCAGTGTGCTGGAAGAAGCCAAGACCACCAGCATTGAAGCAATGGTCCTCCGCCAACAACTCCACTGGACCAGCCATGTTGTCCGGATGCCCGACCACCGTCTCCCAAAGCAGTTGCTCTATTCCGAACTCAAGAACGGACAATGGAATGTTGGAGGTCAGGAAAAGAGATTTAAAGATGGGCTCAAAGTCAACCTTAAAAACTCTGGCATAGACACTGAGAATTGGGAAGCCCTGGCCCTTGTGCGCTCCAGTTGGAGGTCAGCTGTGACCAGCAGTGCTGCAGAATTTGAAGAGGTACGAATGGAGGGCGAAAGAGAGAAACATGCCAAGGGGAAAGTGCGTCATCCTCGGACTACGAGGGACCGTCTAAGTAAGTAAGTACAGATCAACCCACAGATTCTTAAATGTTAGGATGGAATTCAGAGCCCAATTCTATCATTTACAACATCTATTTAAAAGGGTGGATTCAATGGACAGGTAAAGAGCTAGGACTATCTATCCTGGAACACACTGAGGGCAGCCCTAAGTTACTAATGATATTGAATAGCTTGCTCTTGCATACCAAAATTGAAGGAATGTATGGGGTTATCTACATACCTAACAATAAAGTGAAAATACCTATGTGTGTATGTGGCTGGGATGCTCACATCCACAGACAGGCTCCCTCTCCCACAAACAGCTTTAATACACAGTGCTGAGGAGCCACCAACAGCCCTCTCTCTAATGACAGTTTAGGTTATAGCAAACATCATGAACATGCAGCCCAACCCCTGCCAATGTCTTCTGCAAACAACATACTGCCCACCACCCAAGGAATGCTTTCATTCAGGGACAATTTCATTCTAGATTTTAAGTGTTTCCTCCACCACAAACACCTCAATGTTTCTGAATCTCTCCATTGCTATGAAATTTGCATGACCCCACCCACTGCCTCTCCCATAACCCTTTCCTACTCTTTTCTGTGGGGCACAGCAAACAGAGCTGCATTGATTAGCAACTGAAAATACTGGAGGGGGTTGGAGGTCTGTCTCAGTATGATGGAAGTTGTAGTTCACCCTGAATCAAGACGGAGCACTGTGACCCCTACCAACAATGGTTCTGGGCCACATTTGGCACACAGAACACCCCCATGATCAACAGAAAATACTGGAGGTTTTGGGGAGAACTGACCTTGATTTACTTCATCCACATCCAGAGAGCACTGTGAACCCAAACAACAATAGATCTGGACTAGATTTAACACAACCGGTATGCCCAAATTTGAATACTGGTGGGTTTTGGTGGGAATTAGCCTGGAAATTTGGAGTTGTAGGTACTGGGATTTACAGTTCACCTGCAATCAATGAGCACGCTGAACCCACCAAAGATGGGACTGGACCAAACTTGGCACACAGAGCCCTCATTACCAGCAAAAAATACTGCAGGTCTGGGGGGGGGGGGGGAATTACCGTGATTTGGGGGTGCTGTAGTTCACCAACATCCAGAGAGCACTGTGAACCCAAACACTGATGGATCTCGACCAAACTTGGCACACATACCTGGTATGCCGAAATTTGTTTACTGGAGGGGTTTGGGAGGAAATGACTTTCTTCTTTGGGAGTTGTAGTTCACCCACAACCAGAGCAACTGTGACTTCCACCTACGATGGACCTGGACCAAACTTGGCACACAGAATCCTCATGACTAACTCAACCTACTGGAGGGCTTTGAGGGGACTGACTCATCATAGTGGAAGTTGTACTTTACCCTACAGCAAGAGAGCACACTGAACCCCACAGATGATGCATCTAGAGCAAACCCGCCCAACATAACAAACTTTAAGTACTGATAGAGTTTTTTTTTAACCTGGCATGATGTGAGTTGTAATTCACCCACAACTTTATGCACTTTGTACAATAAAAATTCATATTTTTTTTCAAATAACCTGGGCAATGCTGGGTACCTAAGCTAGTTTGAAATAAATATAGGTATGCTACCTACTTAAGTTGCTGTAGGTATGCTGCAAAAATCAAAGCTGGAGGCGATGAAGAAGCAGCTTAATAAAATGCATTTACTTATTTTCTGTATTTATATCTTACTTTTTTCTTAATAAGTGATCCAAGTCAACACACAAAACAAGTTAAAGTGAAACACACTTTAAGCAATTGATAATATTAAAGTTTAAAAGTATTAAACAACCAAGCATACTAAATATAACAATTTAAAAGTTTTAAAAGGCAGTTAAATTATAGTAATAATGATAGTAATAATGGATTTTAGAAAAAAATCCACTTAAATTCTGGTTTCTGTCTCCGGCAGAATTCTGGGGTTTGTAGTTTAGTGAGGCTGTTAAAGGCTTCCTCCTAAACTACAAACCCCAGAATTCTGCGGGAGGCAGAAACCAGATTTTAAGTGGATTCATTCTCTAGTGTGATGAGGTGCTTTAACTGCCATGATTCAGTGCCTCGTGTCTCATATTGTAACATTCCACTCTCAATGAAAGAACCCTTTACAATGGACAGTTATTGATCAGGGATTACAGTTTCTGCTATAGTATTTCATACATCATTGCAGATATTTAGTGAATAATGACATTCCTGTTGGCTATGTTGACTAGAGCTACAGTGTAACAGCATCTAGGGATTCATGTTCTCCATTTTTGATGGTAGAAAACCTACCGAGGACTCTAATGATCAGAACAGAAATGGCTGTCTACATCAAATTATTCACCCCATTATTTGAAATGTGACAGGAATGCAGTTAATTTAAAAACTGAATGTGTACTTTATAGAGAGGAATGGTTCCTGGGTAAGTAACCCTTTATTCACTGCTAAACAGTCACATAAAAGTGCTGCCTGTTAATAAGGTAAAATTTCTTGGAAATTCACATAGTTCCATATTTTGATGTTAATTTCTTTATGTGATAAGCTCACTGCCGTTATTATTTTGTATTATGTTGTATTACTTTAATGTATTTGCATTTGTTTGAGCATTGAATGTTTGCCTTTTTGTGCGTAAACCGCTCTGAGTCCCCTTAGGTACAGGGGTAGTCTATAATTAATTAATTCATTATTATTATGCTATTTTTGAAGAATTTTAAATTGAAAAAGAAAATCAAAGAAGTTTTTTTACAGGTTCACATAGATAAAATACATCTGTAACCATAATTGCTGACCGACATTAAAATAAAAGGATTTACCTGTACTTTTTCCTGAAGTGCATTATAAACCTGATATATAGCCCTGATATCCTTCATCACACCATCTTTATCAAAAAAGTCGGTACTAAAAAGACAACAGGAACAATGAATTAGAAGAAGGCGCCTTTTTTGTCTTAAGGCAGTTCATATTTCTCTGAGCTATATTCTAGGCAACAGTACATTAACTTCTGAAACTATTTGCAGAACCAGTTAGTTTCACTCAGCCTGACATTAGAATGAGTAATGCAGGAGAAATATTTGCTTGGTAGGACCAGCTTGTTCTATTCCCTGACCATGTTTAATGGCGCCAAAAAATTACTATATGTGTGTGTGTGTGTGTGTGTGTGTGTGTGTGTGTATATATATATATATCAAACTCCAAGAAAAGATTTTCACTGAACTCATAGAAAGTCTATACATGAAACTCTCTCACAGATAAGCTTGATCATAATAACTTTACTTTTTAATGAACCAGCTGTATGTCATAGGAATTCTTAAATAATTTCTCCTATTTAATTATTATGAAGATAGAAGTCATAATCAAGTATATTGCACACATATTCTTGCTATAATATCTTGGTATGTCAGAATTACTTATTAAAATATTTACCCATGTTCTTTAATAACTTTGGTGTAATTCTGAGATGTATTTGGCACTGAAGAGACCTTGTATTCCTGCTGACTTGTGTTGCCTAGATTAGGAATAGTGAGTGACACCCGTTGATTATACCTGCAGGAAAAAAACATTTAGAAAAACAGTTGTTACCCTTCCCAGATTCCTCCTAGCCATGGGCATCTCTCTAAAAGAGATTCCATTCATAATAGCAACTCAAATTAAATCCTTCCCACTACTCAGGATTTTAAAATCAAACAAAACCACAACTTTCAATGTAACTTGAATCAAATGGCAAATGCTAGGTGGCACTTATTTGGTGTAGTTATTCAATTGATGAAGTGTACATTGTAATGTCCTTATTGCTACCACATCAATATAATTTTTTTTAAACACTGGCAAAATGCAGGAAGAGTTTTCTTTGCTAAATCATAAGTTACTAATCATAGTTTATATTGTAACAATATGTGCCCCCTCCCCCTTGGTGGTGCAGCAGGTTAAACTGATGAGCTGCTGAACTTGCTGGACTAAGAGGTCAGCAGTTTGAATCCAGGGAACGGGGTGAACTCCCACTGTTAGCCCCAATTTCTGCCAACCTAGTAGTTCAAAAACATGCAAATGTGAGTAGATCAATAGGTACTGTTACAGCGGGAAGCTAACGGTGCTCCGTGCAGTCATGCAAGCCACATGACCTTGGAGGCATCTATGAACAACACCGGCTCTTCGGCTTAGAAATGGAGATGAGCACCACCCTCCAGAATTAGACTCAACTAGATTTAATGTCAGGGGAAACCTTTACCTTTTACATTTTAATGTCTATATTGCTACCACATCAATATAAATTTTTTTTGAAACACTGGCATAATGCAGGATGAGTTTTCTTTGCTAAATAATAAGTTACTAATCATTGCTTATATTGTCACAAAATGCTAGAGTATGCTTATTATGATGTGTGAATCTATCTCTAGTAGTAAAAAGTTCCAAGTAACATCTTAGTCCCTCTTGTGGCTCTCAAAGCCCACTATAGTGCAAAGCTCTTGAGTGACTACAGTAATAAAAATACAGAAAGAAAAAGAACAGAAAGGACGATTTACTATGAAATAAACGGATAATGTAGTTGCCACTATATAATTATCAAGTGTAGTGAGGTTCATCGAACTAGCAAGATTCAAAAGATAACATTCTCTTCTAGATATTTCAACATGTTATCATAATGCCTTTCAATAATGAATCCCGTAAGTTACCAGTACTTTCCATTGTTTATATATTGGATATATTACCTAACATTTTGTCATTTAATTTGGCTAAAACCAAGAAAACCCCAATTTCACTACAGACACTTCAGGCTGTATTTTAAAGTTATTCTGCTGCATTACTATGGGCTACATCAATAACTGTTTACCTTCTGTTTGGTCTAAAGAGAACATATTCTAAAGCATGTGTTGAATTATTAGCCGTGGAGATGAAGCTGAATAGAAGGAAGACAAGGTCAGGCACTCCAAGAATCTGTGTCAGCTGTTTATGGATGATGTGCTCTCTATAGGACATTTGCTGTTGAGTGTTTCTCCTAAACCTGTACCATCCAATAACATTCTACAATAAAGGATAAGACAACAAAGTATTAATAAAAGTTAAGAATGGTTTTATCTGTTCATGCTTCAGAACTACAGCCACTATGGTTAGAAGAAGTAAAATGTCAACACGACGTCTGAATTCCTGAACATAATTATACTGATTACAAAATGATATTGAAAGTACCATATGCTAATGTCACATTTTAAAAGAAGACATGTTGCAATCTACAGAATATGGAATCTTTTCACTTTATACAGAATCCAATGCATAATGAAGGATTACATTTTGTAATGATAGAAATGCCTTGATTTTACAGATATGTTAAACAAATACCATTTATTTTCAAAACTCAACAGATGAATCACACTAGTACTACTTCCATGACATACTTTTCCAGGACTACCATCTATTGACATGTTTATGAACATACATATATAAACCTGCCTTATACAGAGTTAGAATTATGGTCCATCAAGCCTAATATACCTACTTTGAGCAGATACTGCCAGTCAGGAACTGCATAGAGATCTTCCTATGGCAACTACAATCAACCCTCCATATTTGCTGGGGTTGGGGCATAGGAACGAGAGGAAAATATTTTTTATTTAGAGAACATCTCTCTGGGAACTTCTGAGAACTGATTATAGAATTACACTGGGAGCCCTGGAGATTTCTAGACAGGTGTTCTGTCTAGAAATCTCTAGGTCCTCCAGTGTAGCCACAGAGTCAAACCTGTGTGCAAGTAAATCTGCAAACATCAAAAACATTGACTGAACACCTTTGGGACTGAACCAGAATCTTCTACTTGTAAAGCGTGTGATCTGCCACTGAGATACTGCCTAAACGAAGTTGGATTCATGTGCTAGCGGTGTATGTTTTAATTTATATATAAATAATGTTATATTTAATACTATAAGCCTGAAATTCAGTAAAATATTTTTGTTCAAGCAAGGTGTTCTTATAGGCCATATAAGATCTGTCTACTCTTGGGAGTGCCATGTAATCTAAGTAGCAAAGAAATGCAAATTCAACCTTCCCTTGGAAATTGAGATCTATTGCATAATTTCTTCAATAAAGTGAATGGTTCTAAACTATGATTTTGAAACAAAGCCTACAGGTACAGGCTGACTGCCTTCGTCTTTCCAGTCCAACAACTGCCTTTACTGCGCTTAGATGTATTGAAGCATTACAGTGTAGCATTACATGTGTTGTAGAATTACAGTGATCAACTAAAAATAATCTAAAACCCTGGGTGTGCATAGACAACCTCTGAAAAACAATCAGATTAAAGACATAATAAATTCAAACATAATAAAAATGCACAATACTAGAATGAATGTGTAATATTTACCGTATATACTYGAGTATATACGGTAAATATKACACATTTTCCAGCCCCTTTTAGCCCGGAAAAGCCCCCCTCAGCTTATACTCTGGTGAGGGTCCTAGCAGGAATGTGTGGGGCTGAAAGAAGGGCCTTTTTCAGCCCCACACCTTCCCGCCAGGACCCTCACCTGTCTGCACAGCAACCCAATTCTATTTCCTCTCCTCTCTCGCGCTGCRCACACTTCCTTCTCTTCTCGGTGCCATGCGTGCCTCCCTCTCCTCTCTCAGCACAGCAACCTAGCTGGATGATTGTGCYGAGAGAGGAGGACAGGCCGTGCACCTTCCTTTCTTCAGTCCTTCTCACTTCCTCCCTTCTCACCTGTTTTTTCCCACTTTTCCAGCACCCCTTTCCCACCCCAGTCTTCAATTTTTCTAGTTTTTCCCATCCTATGCCAGTCTTTACTATCCTGAGCCCCTCTCTCCCACTTTTCCAGCTCCCTTTGCACCTCAGTCTTTCCAGGTTCCAGCCTCTCTTTGCCATTTTGGTCTTGCCCCCTTTCTCACCATAGTTTCCCACTTTCCCACCCCTCTTTCTCGCTCCAGTCTTTCCCAGCCCCTTTCTCATCTCAATCTTTCCCACTTCTCCACTTGCCCCCTTCTCACTCCAATCTTTCCACCTTTCCAGTGCCCCCTTTTGCACCCTAGTCTTGCTCATTTTGCAATCTTCCTTTCCCCATCCCAAACTTTTYTGGCTGCCCCACTTTCCCACCCCAATTTCCCCTGCTTCTCCCAACYTCTTCTTCACACTCTAGACTGGGGTCTTTCCCACTTTTTCAGCCACCCTTCCCACCCCAATCTTTCCCAATTTCCAGCCCCCCTTTCACATCTCAGTCCTTCCCACCCTCAGCTTCTACTCAATATGTTTTCCCAGTTTTTAGTGGTAAAATTAGATACCTCGATTTATATTCGGGACGGCTTATACTCGAGTATGTATGGTAAGTAGTACAGAAGAGTATTGCATTACCATGTCAGTAAATAAATTTAGATTTGAGTTCAGAGAATTATTCCTTTGCACTCAAAGCCTTTCTCCCTTGCAACAGTCAAGCTTAATGAGACCGCTGCTGATGTTTTACTAATGGGGGGTGGGGAAGAGATGAAGACAGCAATTTATAGGATAAATACTCAGCTGCTTAAGGTTGTCAGGAAAGAAAAAGCAGGGAGCACTTTATGTATGATAATTTCTTCCCCCTTCCAACCTAAGACCAGCCGCTTCTTAATATCTGAATCAGCTCCCCACTTCCCCTTCCCATCAGTGAACAACCACAGTAAGGAGCATATGGAACTGTGTGGACAGAGCATTATATTACTCCACGATCTAGAATCTCAGTCCTAGTCACAATGCAGCTGTCTGACATAACCGCAGTTCAAAAGGGGCAATGTCTTCTGATCAGCCTAGTTTGCTGATATTTTTTATCCAGAAGAACAAGCAACAATAAAAGGCAAGTGCTGTAGAGCAGCAAAGATGTCAACTCATTTTCTCCAATGTTCCAGTTATACCAGGTACTAGTCTGGTCTTATTGTAGTATTACTTACTAAGTAGCAATGCTCTGCTTCGCTCCATTGCTAAAATAGTTGCATTATGACAGAGCTCAAGTCAACTTAATGGGATATGACTACATTCAGTTTAACTCTGGCATATCCTTTATCACGTGGTACTTAAAAGCTTTTCTTCCCTCAAGTGTTTACACTTTATTAATATTGTGCAAGGAAAGCACTGTTGTAGATACTTCAAAGAATGCCTGCAAGTTCCTCTCCTCCAAAATGAGTACTCTGGAATCTATAACAGAAAAATTCATTTACAAAATTAATCAAGTGAAATAAGGGCTAATTTTAAGAAAAGGTTTCCTTGCCTGAACTGGAACTAAAAGAAATGTATCTCTGTGTGTCACTGAGATAGAATTCCTTGCCTATTGTTAGTGAATCTATATTAAAGATACCCTGCTCTCCAGAAAATAGGGGATTACATGCCAGTAACCAGTACTCAAATCTCCCTTCCTTGATAAGGATGGTTAAAAGTGGTGTTATTGAGCAGCTCCAAATTCCAAAGGCTGATATACATTCTGAATAGACGTCTAGGTAGTAGGTTAAGATAAGGCTGTCTAAATCTCCTTAGTTGATTATTATTCACTGGGGCAGATCTAGCAGAGGCTTTAGGAGAGCTTTTGAAACCATCAGCAATGACATTTCAACTGTATGGCTTGAAAGTAAGAGGCAATTATTTACTTGCCATAGATCTGTTCCTACCTGTGGAAAACACAAAGTAGAACTAGAAAACTGTTCTTTTTTTATGGAAGACTTGTGGGATGCCACAAGTTCTCTAGTCATTCCGGTATCTTAGAATTCACATGGAACTATGAGGAGTGGCAGCTCACAGTTGTGAACCAATTCATCACCAATATGATGATGACATGTGACCATCTGTTCCTACTTTCTATCTGAAGCAGGTGTGGTGTCTTCTAAATGAACAGATTGAGGTTTAAAGAATAATTTGAAGAAAAAACGTAAACTCTAAAGAATTTAGCGTAACTACTGTAACACCATTCAGACACAATTCATGTTTGAGTAGTATAGGCAACCTCAAACTGTGGCCCTCCAGCTGTTTGGGCCTTCAACTCCCAGAAGCCCTAATGTGCTTGTTCAATTGTCAGGAATTCTGGAAGTTGAAGGCCCAAACAGCTGGAGGGCTACAGTTTGAAGATACATGGAGTAGTACATCACTTTGGGGACACAGTTGGGTTCACAAGGTGATAAAAAAATGCACTAATAAATAAAAATAAGATAGAATTGTATATAATGTAGGACCTAGAGCAAGAGAAATAGTGGGCTCTCCTGCATTTGGAACATGAGTAATTTTTAAGAGCATAATGGACCAGATTTGGTTGTGATATGCTGGCAGTACCAGTATCAGAAAAAAAGACCTTGCCATTGGAGAATGATCGTGTAATTCTGGAAATACTGCTGTAATGAGCAGTAAACAGAGTTACGCTGTAAGGCAAACTCAAACTGCAGCGGGCAATGGGTTAAACCTTTGTGCTGGCTGAATCACTGACCAAAAGGTCAGTGGTTCAAATCCACGAGATGGGGTGAGCTCCCATCTGTCAGCTCCAGCTTCCCATGCAGAGACATTAGAAAAACTTCCCATAGGATGGTAAAACACTGGGGCATTCCCTGGGCAATGTCCTTACAGACAGCCAATTCCCTCACACCAGAAGCAACTTACAGTTTCTCAAGTTGCTTCTGACATACACAAAAAGCTTCAGATGATCCCAAACACAAAAGACTTAAGATTAATACTTTCATTTAAATACCAAAGAAACACAGGATGGATCTGCAACAATGCCAACTAATTGATTTCCAAGCCAACTCCAAAGTGCTGGACCATACACTTAAAATGTTATAAGCATCACACATATCACTGGTAATAACAGAATAAAAGCAACCAAGGAATCTAAATTCACAAGGGTCATCCTCCTCCGATATCCAGGGAGATCTGCTCACTTTGATCAAATAATAAAAAGTGCCAACTCCTGAAATAAAACTCAGCAGCTAGAAGAGCACTTAAGGCAATGACTTGGCATTTATGGTACTTCTTGTCTGTCATCACCTATTACATATGGGTACTTTGATTCCTTATTGCTCTCATTGTCATATAACCTTTAATCATGATGTGTGCTGTAGTCAGGTGTTGTGCATTTTACTAGTTTTCCTTCTGAGATAAGCAGCTGATTTGCTGTTGTTTTTAATTGTCATTTTGTTATAAGCTGGAAACAGGTAACATTTTTTTTCTCTCCTTCATTCGGAGAACTGTTTAACTGAAAATAATTATTCCAGGTAAATTGATCTTGTTGGAACATTGTGAATGTTATCTGGTTCTATATCTTTTCTTACAGATACTCTAAATTCATACAAATATCCCAGTCTGATAACCAACAATAACTATAGGAACTGCAGATGAAGCATGGCAATTTTTTGGGGGAAAATTACACAAAGTATTTGAAGACACAATCTTTAGAACCAAACATTAAAAAAAAATTACTTGAGCCCTATCGTTACATAAGAGTTTTGTCTACAAAGCTAGATATACTTACTTTTTTCCGATCTTTAAGAATTCTGTCCAAATTTTCTTCATTGACTTTACCTGCATAATCATAAAAGCTTGGGGAGAGGGGAGAGAAATGAGGCTTATATTTGAAATCGGAATCATGTGTACTGGAACAAAGTGATGTGAGAAATATTAAAAATTAACTAGGTATTTTTAATTACAAAAATGTGAGCCAAGGGTTAAATGGATGCAATGACGCAGCAAAAGCTGTAGTTCTATATAAGCAGGTGTACCGTAGCTTAGTAAACCGCAGGGGGAGAAAGATCTCAGTCTGTGAGAAAGCCTCAGAGTGTGAGATAGGCCTTAGTCTGTGAGAGAAGCCTGAGTGTGAGGAAGGCCTTGGTCTGTGAGAAGGCCTCAGAGTGTGAGACAGTGGTGTGAGAAGCTTCGATGAGAGAAGCCCCAGGTTCAAGGCTTCATGTGTAAAGCTCCTGTGTAAATACAGTGTGAGATGAGGCTCTGTGTAAGAAAAGCTGTTTATTTGCATAAGAAAGAAGTCCAGCATGGAAGCAACGAAGAAAGTAGAAAGAATTTTATTTATGTTATGGACCCTTGTTCTTGTAAATAGTACAATCACATTATTTTACTACAAATAAAAGCTGATAAAAGTATGATAACTGGGATCCAGTGCTGGTAGCGCTATGCTGGTTGTGCAACGGGGCTCTGAATTAAAAAAAGGAACACGTGCGTGAGACAGCGCACCAAGTAAGAGACACAGCTGCGGCAGGATACCAGTGAAGTAATGTAATGCAGGTGGGACAGGATAACAGGGAAGTAATGTAAGAGTGACTGGATTTGATTCATTTTTCACCACTGCTCATATTCCTCCCCTCCTTTTTATCCTTCTTTCCAATGCAACAACGTTTTTGAATGTGTTTGCATAGGATCTCCGGATAGCCTACATCAGTATGCTTGGCTATTGCCCCTCCCCCTTTCTACCGAACTACCTTGCATAGGATTTCCGGATAGCCTACATCAGTATGCTTGGCTGTTTCCCGCCCTCCCCTTCTACCGAACTACCTTGTCGACTCTGTCATAGCCATGTTTCTCACTGTGTGCGGTTTCTCACACACACGGTGCTGTGTCTGCCGCATGTGTTCCTTTCTCTAACTCAGAGCTGCATTACGCAACCAGTGTAGCACTACCAGCACTGGGTCGCAGCTATCATACTTTCACCGAAAAGCCTCCTATGGAAGAGATAACATTGGTCTGTGTGTTTTTGTCCTTTTATCACTTGTGGTTACTGTTTGCTGGGTCACGCTGCTGCTCATAAGTTACTCTGCTGTACATTTATGAAGAGGGTCTTTTGTTAATTAGCCCACTTTCCCAACAAGTGAATGTACTTGGATTATAATGGAATAAACAAAATTAATTGTGTCCATTCACTATAATCCTTATATGATCCTAATCTGGAATTCTTTGACAGCTAATTTTTGAAAAGTGTTTATCTTCAACTTTCTATATGTCAAAAAGTTTCAGAATTAACATCTAAAACTCATTTTAAAATGCATCTTCTTCAAAGTAGTTATTGTGGAAATTCTAGCTTAAGGTTTTGCTCAAATGCCTAATCTTACAGCATAATTAAAAGTCAGGAGTTGTATTCATATCCACTTTACATAAGCATATTTTTGGATAACAGATGCTACATTGTAGCTCAAGGATAGTGAGTGGAATATGAGCCATGAGTGAATGATGCAAATATGTTGGGGCTCAAGTAAGTCTTCATTTTATCAACATAGCTTTTTGAATATCAAATTTAAGATGTGAGTAGAACTGTATCTTCATTCACACACTGAAAGAGATGTGTGTGTAAAAAAACAAGTATGAAAGAGATGTGTGTGTAAAAAAACAAGTCCTGCAAGTATCCCACTCTAAGCAGGACTAACACCCCGCCAGTAGAATAATTATAAATTAGGACTCAAATTATTTTTTACAGATTTCAAAATGAGATCGGTTTAAGGTCTTTAAAAAACAAAATTTCTCTTAAACTCAATGAAAATTCAGTCAAATGTTAAATTTGACACAGAAACAGTATCTACCTATAGGGATGCAGATATTTAAAAGAAATGTAATTCTATCCTGTACTTAAAAGCATTCAGTACAGTACACCGACACTAATAGACCTGAACAGTCAATCTAATAATAAAACTATTTTCTATTCAAACTATTAGTTCTATTGATTTAGCAGCTAATCCATCCATAAGCAAGTAGTACTTTAGGGACTGAGAAGAATAAAGATGCTACTTCTTTCACTCACACAGATTATGGTACACAATCTCTACTATTTAGCAAAATAAAGCTTGTTCTGTCTACAATAATGCCATAACTGTATTTGTCATACATTAAAAATTACTATCAAATGAAGTATCTAAATCTTTATACAAGCTTATACATGTAAGCAAAAGATTCAATACAAGCATTTCTAAACCTATCAGATAATCCCAACACACATTTTGCAGAAACATTTTTTTCTATATATTACACAAGTAACACAAGTGTAATTAGCATTTCTAATGTAATGCACTGTACAGGCAGTCCCCAAATCACTAACAAGATAGATTCTCTAGGTTTGTTCTTAAGTTGAATTTGTATGTAAGTCAGAACAGGTATATTTTAAAAGTGTAACTCCAGCTAAATACACACACACGGTTTGGATAGCATGTGGAGTTTGTTTTGCTGTCTGTGCTCCTGTTCAGATTTCACCTCATTTTCTGTCCCTATGATAACTGGATGCTGAAAAAGTTGGTTTGTTGTGGAAAAAAGGATTGGTGGTAAAGCTTAAGTGGAGATACCTTTTCTCCATGATAATTCTTCAAGTTAATTTCCCTACCGAGGGTAGATTTTTCTCACTTCCTGTTGTCTCACCCACGTTCCAAACTATGAGTCATATGTAAGTCCTATGATAGCAACTCAGGGACTGCCTGTATCTATTAAAATTTACGTGCATTCGGCATCTACAACTATTCCAATCTGCATTACATATAATATATCTCTAAAAATAATATTCTATATACTAATTCTGATAAATGTTGGGGGTTTATGTTAATGCTAGATTTAGTTCACTCAATGATTCACAAAACAGAAGAAGGAGGGGGAAAATAACTTACCTAAATAATTTCAAACAAGGCTCATGATTATGGATTTCTGTAACAACAACAATGCACATTACAATTATTCAAGACCAAAGAGCTTAACCCCATGTATATCCTTCCAACTTTTCAAATGCAAAACAACGGCCCGCCCCCGTACACACAAAAAGTGTATAACCTCAAAACATATGAATTTACATATTACAAACATTGATTGTTTAAAATTGAAATATTAATGGTGCTATTCTAGATTAGACCTCAGATACATTGCTATTTTTGACAGAGTACTTATTTTCGCTTAGTAAAAAAAGTGAAAAATTCCAAGCTCCCAGTAAAAGCTTGCTATTCAGCTGATACGAGCCAAAGGGCAAAGGACGGACAAGGAAGGGCCATGATATAACCCTCTCTAGTTTATTTTGCAGAAACAAAACAAATGCGCACCTGGAACTTGCCGGAATATCCCTTGCCCTGTCCAAGTTAATTCAGCCATATTAAGTAAGCCAAAATATATTTGGTTTAGGCCAAAATACAAACCCGATTAAATCGGACTATGAGAAAAAAAAGTGGTATTTACCGATTACTTGCAAAAATTCAGTGTTGCTGATTTGCGAGTCACTAATGCTAAATGTCTCCTCTTGTCTAACTTCTCCCAACAAGAATCCTTCCTATAAATGAGCAAGGAGGAAAAATTTAATTAATGACACAGAAAAATTACAATGGCATTCATGAACAAGTACATGGAAGAATTACAAAGTCCCACCTGGAAAGTTTAACTACAAAAGATTTTGGCCTTCTTCCCAGAAGATGGGACATTTTAGTAGGATTTAATTCAACTTACATCCTACTTTTTTCTACCATGAGACCCAAAGCTACTCAAAATACAGATTAAAACAAAATAAAGGAAAAATAATAACTGTAAAGTAAACAAGTAAAAAAACAATTATATTAAAATGGGGACCCACAGGTTGAGAACCACTGCTCTACGAGATGTGGATCAAGCACTGAAAGATCACAAACACTTCTCCTGAGTATCTTAAAAACTGGTTAGGCTTGTATAGGAAGACAGCCTGGTGTAACTCCTGTGTGTGTGTGTGTGTAAGCTTTAGATAGCATAAGGCAGGATTAACGCCCCTGTGGTGTTCGTTTTGCTGTCTGTGCCCCTGATTTCATCCCACTTTCTGTCCCTGTGATAATCAGATTTTGACAAATTTGACTTGTTATGGAAACAAGGTTTGGTGACAAAGTTTCAATGGAGATATCTTTTCCCCATGTTAAGTCTTCCAGGAATGAATTTCCCATCCGAGGGGTAGATTTCTCTCACTTCCTGTCGTCTCACCCCCATTTTTAACTACGAGTCGTTGGTAAATTTGATGTTTGTAACTTGGGGACTGCCTGTATACTTGTCTATGGTGTAAAAATTTTACTCAAAAATCAAGCCAAAACCCTGTATAAACCTATCCACAGGTCAATGTGAATGATGGCCTTAACTTTTTTTTTAAAGCAATCATCCTCTTTTCTGAGAAAAATGGCAGAAAGTAAGAGTGTAGTCCAATCCCAGGAGAACCTAAAAGAAGCACTGGACCACCCTCTACTGTTCACCATGGTGTCACTTCTGGCCTTTTTGAAAGTCCAGACAAGAGAAATGACAGCAGCCTCTAAGGGAAGCTGGCTCCCTTAGGTAGTACTTGTTCTTTCCCCTCACCCTCAAATAATCTTCGACTTATCCACAAGCCATATCAAAATCCACAATTTTGGCCTCCAGATCTGTCCTTGGTTTATACACAATCCTGACTAATATATGAGTATATCTGGTAGTTTTCTCTCACACAATAAAAAAACAAGGAAATAATATATCCCAGTAAACCGATTACATTTTGCTATTGGAGTACTTTATAGAAGAAACGTCTCAGGGCATAAAAGTCCTATGCAATTTTGCTTTTGAGCCATGATACACTAGGAACGTGCAATGAAGAGAGATAATTTCTCCTCTTGGCCAAAGATAAGAGGGCAGATCGTGTATGCTTATTTGTTCTTGTCAAAAAAAAAAAAAAGACAAAGCTCACATACTCCTAAAACACAGTAACTGAAAGACCTGGTTTAGAGATCTATATCTGTCCAGTCGTCATTCAGGAATCCTCAGAATCAAAAGTAGCAAGAAATAAGAAAGAAGTTCTTAAACTGGTCCTCATAGAAACCACATTTTAACACATAATCTTTGAAATAAATTGAGATTCACAGCACATCCTTTGGACATCAAACAAGAGGAATTCTACCAGAAGTAAAGATGGAAGACCCTTAACATCACTGGGCTCAATATTTCTGGCAGCAAAAACATAAAACGCACGAAGCATCGGGGAACAGCATATAGTCTCATAGTGCTGCCACTCCAGATGAACAACCAACCCAGAGGTTTTGCACTTTCTCACAAAGTACTTGAAGGTCAACAACAGGGAAATGATAGCAAAGCACAGAATAAAAAAAATATAAACTGACCACCATTTAGGAGATGTGGGCTATGTTTTTGAGGACCTTCAAGAACGGTACACACCAAGGTCTGATCAAACTGATCAGAGGTGTACTGCCAAGTAAAACAAGAAAACATGGCATAAAAGTGTGGTCTTATTGTAAAGCTAAGACCTTTGGGAAGGGAGGCATTTAGCTGTGAAGACAGCCTGATATGTCACGGAAAGCCCACCTTGGTTACAAGACTAATTGAACCATACTGCATACTTGTCAAAAAGTCATGGGAGGCTTTGTTTCCTCCAGCTAAGAACTGGCAGAAGGTCTGCTAACCAAGAACCTAAAAAGTTGGGGCAGTTTACATCCACAAACACTTCCATGGACATAGGCTATTTCTAAGTTGTGGAATACATTGGTTCTACCTTCTCCTCTCCACATTTTGTTCCATTTGCACTCTTACATAAAATATGCTTTCGCTATTACAAAAGGAGGACAGGAACAGAGTGTAACCAAGAAACAAGGCCAAGCACTTGCATCCTCTGAAAGTGCATTTCTTGACAGGACAATCTTAGCTGCATTTACGTATTATATGTAAATTAGCTGTTGTGTAATATTCAACCTTCAGTTGATAACATCAGCGTTAACACTGTCCCAACTGTGACCTGTGAATATATTTATTATAAACTGCCCTGAGTGATCTGTCCATTTCTATTGAACTCAGTTTAATTACAGAAATGGAAGAACTGAATGTTCCTTAGATTAGAAGTATAATGTGAGTCTAAGCCAGAGAGACTTGTGTTTGCAGTTCTTAGTGCAACCTCTATTTCTCAAATGGCATAAAGGGCAACAGATTGTTAAATATAAGTCATTATGTGACTGTCCATGCTAGAACAACTTGTTCAAGAGCTAAAGTAGTAGCACAGCTCCATATAAAATTCACAGGAAATGAAGCACATATATTAAAAACATTATGTGGAAACTGCCGCTTATTTGGTGTGTGTTTAGTGTTTTCATTCAATATAGATATTTATTCTTTAATTTTCTTCCCAGAAACCTCCTGATTTCCACCATATCAGCAGAGTCTCTGGTTGGAAATATTAATCAGGTTCACAAAACATGGATTGATTGTTTTGCTCTATGAGAAGAATAACTATTCAATCCTTTAAATAAAAATTAAATTAAGGATATTTTCTTCTTAAAAGTCTCAGAGCAATACATGATGCAACTTTCAGTTCAATAGTGAGTCAGACCTGATCCAGAAAGGATCGGACAGTTGCAGAAACATTTTAAAGATAGCTTGCTTTCCGTAGTCTAACCGAAGCAAACAAAGTCATGCATTTCATACACAAAAGTAACTAACACAACTTTAAAAATGCTGTGCAGAGCAAGAGTTCCCAACATAATGTGGAACTAAAAGACAGAAAGTACTATAAACTAATCATCTTGCAAAAGCCACAATACAGCAGCTATGAGCTGTCAAGGTATAGAACATTCCTATTTTCAGCTTTAGAACAGATTGCTCTTCTAGAAACTTACTTACCATAGCAGATAAACAGGATTCATTTAATCAAAAGTTAACATTACTTAAGGAGATGATAAAAATTCTGCTCTGCACAGATCAAACAAAATTAGGATGTGTACCAGGTTTGACCTTCCATATGTTGTTAGATCCTAATTCACAACATTCCTTACCATTGGCATACCGGGTATGGCTGCAGCAACTCACAACCAATCACAATTGTAGGCCTACATTTTATCAATTCTTGCTCTAGAGATCCAAGACGTTTAGTTTTACAGCTTTATCACATTTTTGTTATCTTTAGGAACGGTCTGAATGGATATCTTTTCAATTCGGCTATTACACTGTTTCGTTTATTATGATGGTTATATTGTTTAAAATATTTTAAATTATGTTTTTAGTCACTGTAAGAGTTATTTTTAGAGGAAATGACAAGGTAAAATGTATTAAATATAAATAAAAATCTTTACAATGCCAGAAACAAAAACATGATGATGACAGTGACGACAACTATGATTCTGCTTGTTTTCTCACTCAAGGGCCCAAGGAAGCTTACGAAAGTTAAAACAGATACTGTTAATCTAAAAATTCACATCATGCAAAAGTTAAAAATATAATTGCATTACCAATTGGATTTGAAGCTGTTAAATGCTTGATCACTAAAAAGGAAAAGAAATATAAACTGTACAGGCTCTTTCTTCCTGAGCAAACATTCCTTTAAGATCTGCTGAAACAAAGGGCTTTAATTTGTATGGAAGGTTAGAAGACTGGAGCAGTACCTGAGAAGGCCCTCTTGTATATTTCCACCAGACAGATCACAGTGATGCAAGGTAAGGGCCTTCCCGGAAGAGCATATAACATGGGTAGGTTTGTATGGGACAGCATAGTTCCCCAGATAAATTAATTAACACGTGGTTTTGTAGGTCATAACCAACCATTGTCCCCGGACAAACTGGCAGCCAACAGAGCGGTTGCAACAAGATTATGCTCAGTGTCATAAGCCTCAATTACCAAACTTGCTTCAGAGTTCTTTGGACAAAATTTCAAATATTCTTCAAAAGCTACTCCTTCCCGAGAAAATGTTAATAAATCAAGTGAGTTGCCACTAAGGTAGGCATGGGCAAACTTTCTAACTTGGGGGAAGCATGGTGGGCTGGGAGGGAGGGGGTTCTCCCCAATTCCCCTCCCTGCCCTGCCCTGCCCTGCCCTTTTTTCCCCTTCCTCTTCTATATCAGAAGCAGAAAGTGAAGGAAAGACGGGAAATGTTTGGATCCCAAAAGGGTTAGCCTTGGTTAGGATGAGATAGTGGATGGGAGAGAAAAAGTGTATCCATTTGACCCCGGATTGCCTACTCCTGATATAGAATGCTAGAGCTGGAACAGACCTCCAAGGGCCATCCAGTCCAACCCCCTGCTATGCAAGAAGGCACAACCAAAGCACTCCCGATAGACAGCCTCTGCGGACAAGCCTCCTACTTTGAGGCAGCCTTATGCCACTCTCCAACAGCTCCTACTCTCAGGAAGTTCTTCTTAATCTTTTCAGTCGAATTTCTTTCTCTGCCATTTGAAATCATTGCTCCCTTGTGCCGTGGTCTCTAGAGTAGCAGAAAGTCAGTTCTCCCACTCCTCCTCAATCTTGAAATATGGTTCTCATTGTTCCTTTATACCTTCTGTTCTCCCTGCTAAA